CTTGATTACATTAAATGAGGTGGGAGGCTCCTCCCACTGTGGGTAGCTCCATCCCCTGTGCAGGGATCCCAGAGGAACAAGTGTAGATAGAGCAGGCTAAGCACTGGCATGCACGCATTCATTGCTCTCTACTCTAGACTGTGGGTATAAGCTCCTGTCCCTGTGATACCCTTGACATCCTGGACTATAAACTAGAATTACAGGCTCAATGAACCTTTCATGCCTTAAGTCGCTTTGGTCAGGCCTTTCATTGCAGCAATAGAAAAGAAACAAAGGCACTTCCCAGGAAACACCTTGTATCTAAAACTATTTGCCATAGGCTAGCTCATATTAAACAGTGTACATATCTACCCCATTTTTCCTGCTAGATTACAGTTACTTTTTTTCTGAGCTAGAGAGGACTCACACATTTTTAAATCCATCCATTCCCAGAAAAATCTTATGATGGAAATCCTTCTCTAAATGTCTGAGGATCTGAATACTGTGTATACTGATGTGTTTTAAGTATTCTGTTTTTCTATAAAAGAAAGCCTAAAACTAATATTGAGGTATTCTGTGCTCTGGGACAGAAAAAAGCATCATAAAGCGGATGGTACTTTCCCTGAATCAGCCAATAGGTGGAACAGAACTCTATCAAAAGGCTATTCCTAAGAGCTGACAAGCTTATTTTAAACTTTACTGGAAGAAAAAGACAACTCGGGCGTAGAGGAGAGCATGATGAATAGGAGCAGGCTGCATGGTCCTTGCTGGATGGCTGGATGTTTTATTTGCAGCAATAATGAAGGTCACATGGCTAGGAGTGGGGATGCAGACCAGTGAAGAGACAGCTCACAGGAGACACATGCAAACCTGGAGGCACAATGTGATCCATGGGGGAGGGAAACAATCGGCAAGTCAGAAGGAAAACTGGAGAATACAGTAGACCACTGAAGATAAAAACAAAAACCCGGCTGTCTACTATTGAGAATCCACCGTAATTCTAACTGGATTGCATAGTACACAATTATATATCGACAGCCTTTATCACTACCCAATAGTAGACATAAATAGGACTAAATCAACAGACATAAACAGAAACAGAAGGTATGTACCCCAAAGAAGTTGCCTGAAAGATGCCTATGCAATTGGGTCTATAAACCCTAATTTTTTTTCTTTTATAATATATTGAAGAGAGACTAAGTTGTTTGTGGCTTTATAAGGGTCAAAGATTTAGAACCGAGGGAGAGGTCACCAAATGCATAGACAGACTCAACAACTGCACCAAGTATTTCAGAAATTTTTTGCCACTAACTGCAAGATGCTGAAACTGTTGCTTTATGAGTAGCAGCTGACAAGTCCGCGTGCTATGCAAAGCCCCTCTCCACATGGGCATTTGAGTCAACCAACCACGCTGAGAACTATCTCCACTTACCCCAACCTTTAGCAGAACCCTATGTGCTAGCCTCTCAGAGCATTTAGCATCCTCAGCAGGGTGACAGTCATGTCTGGATGCCTTACAGTGTGATACCTTTCTGCATGCCACGCCTACGGTAACACTTCTTTTGTTAGAAAAACACTGGAACCAAGTAATCATACATGTTAATTTACTTTCCTCATGGGTGTGGTTTTCCCGTTTCCTAGAATTCCTGCCTCGTGTTCCACTGACTGGTCCTATGGTGGTCTCATGACACATACCTCTGTTAACGCTGCCGTGGGTAGCTGTCTGTGTGGGCTCCAGACAGGCAGATTTAAACCGAAGAAATGGATTGTCTGTCCTCACATGGCTGTCCCTCCACACACAGTGTCTTGGTGCCTCACTGTCCTGATTTCCCCTCTTAGGAGAAAAGCAGTCATAGCAGATACAGATATGCTTAGATTAACTGACTTGTTTTAACTTCATTACCTCCGTAGGGATCCTAACTGTGAATGCAGTTACATTTAAGGTGCTGGCGGCCAGGCTTCGGAAGTGGGAATATTAGGGTGACACAACTCAGTGAGTAACAGCACTTTTGTGATGACTCACTCAGCAGGTACATGTAGCTGGCCAGGCTGTAAGATGAGGGACAGTGGCAGCCTGGAGGTGAAAAGGAAGGGGTCCCAAGCCCACAGAATCCTCCACAGCCCCTGGGAAATAAAACCCCAGTTTCTTAAGTTGAGAACGTTTCATTTTGATTAGGCATTCTCCCAGTCTCTCCATCTAATTTTACATGAAGACAGTTACATAAAGAATCTCACCCAAAAGAGATAGCTGGAGAGGTAATGATCCATTAAACATCGCTGACAGCTCCAATTGAACCCCTGGTTATGAGCTACAGTTCTCCCTGCACCCTCCCCCTTCATTAAATACTCGTGAAGAGTGGACAGGAAGAGAGAGTGTGAGCGGAGGAGCAGGGGAGGTGGGGGGACGGGGAGGCCAGAGATGGATTGCTAAAGGATGAAGTATGGCCAGGGAAATACCCGCTGGGCCTCCGGAGAAGTAAGAAAACAGACGCTACAGCAAGGCAGAGCAGGACTCGGGCATCAGAGGGGGAGGAGCAAAGCAAAGAAATACTGAGCATTTATCAGATTTATCTTTTGGAAGTGAAATGTTATCTTCCTGACGGGACCTGGGAGATGAACGTGAGTATAAGAATCACAGGAGACATCGAGGCAGCTGCTGCCAGGCCGTCAGTGTTCTCACACTTCCTATAGATTTTTCAGGCCAAATAGATGGTGTCCTCCCCTCCTTCTCCCAAGATTTGAGTTGCAGGTTAGCAGAGAACTCGGCAATCCCAGGCTCCGGTGTTACTCTGTATCACGCCTAAATAAATAAAGTTAAGGAGCTGTGGCCAAAGATGGAATTTTATAATTACATATTGATTTATATTGAATGTCTCAGTCTGCTGTAGACTCTTGCATCTCCCCGGGATTGCTTTCCTGCCAATTTGTAGGTAGTTTATAGCAGTTTCAGAGTACCTCCAAAAACGCATTTCCGACAGATGGGATTATTAAATGCTTCGTGCAAACAATGATCCATAGCTGTGGTACCGCCCACTAGCAGACAAAGCAGAGTGTCTCTGCTCCTCTCTTATTCCAGTAAATATTTACATCCTTCCGCGTACTCACTTCAAAACTGCGGGATACTGAATTTTACTGCTCTTTTAAGACAAATACAAGAAATTGCAATGCTTTCTGGATTTTCTAATTAACTCGCTCTCGGAATAACTTACTGATAGCAAGACAAACAGGCCCAGCTTATAGTTGGTGTATGTGGTCAATTTACATATAGAATGTAATTATAAGTTTGGTACTCATTTCCTTTTCCAAGTTGGAAATTGTTATTTGCTTATATCTTTTTAAAGATTTATTTTTATTATATTTTATTCACATGTGTGTGTGTGTGTGTGTGTGTGTGTGTGTGTGTGTGTGTGTATGCCACATGTATACCAGTGCCTGAGGAGGCCAGAAGAATGTGTTGAACTCCTAGAGTTACAGGTAGCCACCAAATTGGAAGAGCAGGAAGCAGACTCAGCTGGGGAGCCATTTTCCTATTGACTTACTTACACTTTTTAAAGCTTAGGATTGTAGAACTTTCTAGAATGAACGGACAGTGTGACTTTTTTTTTTCAACATGCAGAAACTGAGGACCAGATATACAAAAGGATATGCTACCAGTTGGCAGAACTTGGGGAGGAGGTAGGAAAGCAGAGACAACACAGTTATTGTGGACATTGCTAGGTAGCCAGTTGGGCTATGCACATTCACAAACACAGACTTGTACCAAGCCTCCTTGTCAGCAACGAGGTAGAGGCTGAGCAGGGTTAGAAATCTTGCCCATTTAAACACTGAAGAAAAAATAGATTTGTTCATTTTTTGTATGTGTATTTTGCCTATATGTATGTATGTGTACCATGTGCATGCTTGGTGCCCCCCCTGAAAGTCAGAAGAGGATATTGGATCCCCTAGAACTGGAGTTATGGATGGTTGTGAACCACCATGTGGGTGCTGGAAATCAGACTGGGGTCCTCTGCGAAAGAAGCCAGTGCTCTTGACCATTGAACCTTTGGTCCAGCCCTAAAACTTGCCCATCTTTGCGGAGTGTCTAATTTAGACTAGGATCTACCTGATTCTACATTTTCTATACCATGAACTTTTCATTTTGTTTTATTTTTTGAGACAGGGTATCTCTGTAGCTTTTGTAGCCTGTCCAGGCAATCACTCTGTAAACTAGGCTGGCCTGGAACTCACAGATATCTGCCTGCCTCTGCCTCTCTAGTGCTGCAAATAAAGGCGTATGCCACCACCACTACCCAGTTTCCCCTGCACTTTCTAAGAAAACAAATATAACCAAGTTATTAAGTTCAAAGGTAATATTTATAATAGCATTACACAAAATTAGTTCTGATAGCTTCATGGAAATCCTTGGCTTATTTCCTAATATTCAAACTGAATTGCTCCTGGTTTCTGTTTTGGTGACATGACTGACATTTAATTAAGAAAGCATGAATGACTATGTAATTGGGTGAGATCAAATGAAATCCTAGCTGCCTGACCTGGCTGGTGATGAGAATTCCACAAACTTCTGACTCTTTCATCTTTAATGCAATTATTTAAGTGAAAATATAACATTTACTTTTCACTCTATCTTACCTGAACAACAACAAAAAAGTTCTGAATTCAGCTTACATAACCCCTACTCCAGTGCCGTGGAGACACAGAGAGGGGGAAGAATCGGCTGGTGATGAATTCCAAGTGAAGAGCGTCTGACATTAGAAAGAAAGCAAGCTCCCAGGCAAAAGGAGAAATGCATATAAAACACACAGGGGCTGGAGAGATGGCTTAGAGGTTAAGAGCACTGACTGCTCTTCCAAAGGTCCTGAGTTCAAATCCCAACTGACACATAGTGGCTCACAACCATCTGTAATGAGATCTGATGCCCTTTTCTGGCATGCAGACAAAACACTGTATACATAATAAATAAATAAATCTTAAAAAAAAAAACAAAAAGTACAGGACACAGGTTACAAACATAAACATCCTCGAGTCTTGTCGTCATTTCATAGAACCTGACTTCTTGGTTGAGAAACATTTCACCAAACTGAGCCCTGGTTCCTGATTTCTGTGGCCCTACTAATTTAAAACTGTTTTACTTGGCAGGTAGAAGCCACAGCTTGTCTGAGACGGTTGGGTAACTTATCTACAGCCATTAAAGACAGAGGACTACAGAGCTAATGAGACCTAATATTTCACACCCATGGATCCAAAGAGCTGTGGACACAACGGGCACCCTCAAACCGCTATCTGGTAAGTCTGAATTGAATGGTAGATTAGGCAAGAGTCAGACCTATTACCAGTGACATAGTAGTCCCTAAAAGGACCAGGGCTACTGCTATTCCAAGCAGCGGTGGAGTGTACAACAATAGTTTTCAAAGGCAGCAGGCGACACACATCAGGAGACTCTGGGCTCCACTCACATTTAATGAACAATTTCAGAGTCTAAGATTAAAGCTGTTTCTCCTTAATAATGCTCAATTTTCTTTTGAATCCGTGAGAAAATCTAAGTCAGCCTTGGGTCACCCTCACCAGAATGGAACTTTCAAAAGCAATGAGTTTCTTTTGTTTTTATGTCATTATGTCCATAATTAGGCAGTGGTATTGCTATTTTTTTTTTAGTCAGACACAAAACCTCGCTGTAGTTTGGCAATTTAGAAGCTGGCAGAGCCTCTTATTCTTTTGTAATATCAGATAACCTCTCGCGGGTGCCAAGGGTATATTCAGTAAGTCACACCTACTTCCTTCAACATCTTAGTAGATCCCTTCCATACCCCAGTACAAATACGCATTTCCTGCAGTCAAGGAGACACATGTTTCAAAAGGAAGAAACTTGGCAAGGTCGAGCACACCCTGCCCCAGCGGAAACTGCAAAACCATTCTTCATTTTTGTGGACATTATTATACAAGCTAAAAAATATCGCAGGACCACCTCAACCAAGTCCGCAGAATGTCTCTGCAGCTTCAGATAGCAACCTCAGGAGGGGGAAATGAACTTTAGATTTGCGGGTTTCCAGCCATGCTGTCTACACCTTCCTGATTCAGGGGTAGCTCAGTACACATGATCTGTGAGAAACCCTGTTTGCAATGTACCTAATGGCTAATGATGCCAGTGCTCTACTGAACAGGACCAGGTAAGATGAGGACCACCAACAGGGCTAATATATAGTCACAGGGCCATGTCATCACTCCCCTCCTCTAATCTCACCAACCCTTTTCAGAAGTCTAATATTTTTCCAGTTCAGACAACTACCGTTTGTTTCCCAGCCAACGAGAACAGCATTTTCAATCTTCATGTCATAATCACTTATGAAACACTGGGGTATATACATCAAAACCCAAGCAAAGCGGCCAAATGCTGATGACCAAAGGCTTCCTGTGTCTGGCTGTAGCCATGGCTGCATGAGACCATCGGTGAAGCTGGCCGACCAGCATTGGCCAGGGTCATTCGCCAAACAAGTGCCATGTGAACTGAACTCGGGGAGAAAGAAAAGAGCGCGAGCAGGGCACAGGGCAGGGAGGGCCAACTCAATGCAGGAGTAGGGAAGGGTTCCCCAACGCTGTGGTTTAGACATGAGCTGTCTGCTGAAGGCTGTGCTCTAGAAGCCTGGTCTCCAGTGTGACGGTGTTGAAGGGTGATGAGACAAACCTCGTAGGAGGTGACTGGGTCATGACCACCCTCGTGGAGGGATTAGTGCTGGTGTCTAGGACTATGGTAATTCCCATGAGAGTGGGTTTCTATAAATGAATGGTCCAAGCTCTGTCCACACTTCTCTTCCCATAGGATGCATCTGCCACACTGTGACACCACCCAGGTGCTCTTGCCAAAACGGGCACTTTGTGGCTTAGACTTTCTAGCTACCCACCAACTTCACCACCCAGGTAGGTGCCCTCTCCTTTTTAAAATGTTCTTAGCTTGTACAATTATATTTTGAGTGTATGATGTTTTGCCTAAATGTATATATGTGTACCACATGTGTGCCTGGAACCTATGAAGCTCATAAGGGGGCATCAGCTCCCCTGGGGCTGGCATTACAGACAGCTGCAAGCTGCCATGTGGGTGCTAGGGACCCACCTCTGGATCTCCGCAAGAGCAGCAAGGGCTCTCAAATGCTGAGCCAGCTCTCCAGCCCCATTATTTCCGTTATATACTAGTCAGCATCAGGCTTTTTGTTATAGCAGCCACAACAAAAAACACACCGAGGCACGTGGCATGTGGTAATGAGATATTTCATGCACAGTCTAAAAGGAAAATAGTTTATAAGTAGGCGTGGAAGAGACAGAGGAAGACAGCGGGGCATGGGGGCACACGTCTGAGAAATGCATAGCTGGAAAATGTGAGCCTGGGAGAAAGAGAGTGCCAGAGAGCCTAGCAGCCAGGCCGGGTGAGGGTACCAATAGAGTGTGACACCACCAAGGTCTCTAGGACACACTGAGAGGCTGTAGGCCGTCCTACGTCAGGCTGTCGTTAGTTGTTTCAGACCACTCTGGCTGCGGTTAGGGTAGAAATAGATGACCTATTAGTTTTCTCTCTGGGAGAAACAGAGGACCAGGCACACCTATGCTCTACACCCAGCCCTCTTCCCTTCCAACTCATGAAGCCCCCTCGTGGGCAATCATCTGTGCTCGGAGAAGACCACTATCCCGAACCAGACAGAAGCAGGCTTCCTGTGACCAAGGGATGCTAGAATTTGCATCGTGGAAGAGAGGGGCGTTCTTTGTTTAGGGAAATAGTGCTCTGGCTGTAAATGCTGGCATGATGCCAGCTGTGTTTGGCTGCTTCTCCACTCCAGTTCTGCAATCCCAAAGCAAACCATTCAGAGACTCTCAAGGGTCCATTTAAAAAAAAAAACTAACAGACAAGGCTGCCCAACGGGGAGCAAAGCGCATCTTTAGACGTTCTTTCCGCTGGTCCCACACAGCTCTCCTTTGTGTAGAAGACCATTAGAAACCCAAGCTGTGGCAGGGAAGGCAAGAGGGTGCTCAACAGGCAGAGGGCTGAAGGAGGCACCTACAACTGCTGTGGGCAGAGACAACTGGTGACTCCATGGATGTGAGGCATGAAAACGGACTCTCAAGCATTGGTTTGGCGCCGTCTACCGAAAGGCGGGTCCTAGAGGGTCCGCAGGGGGGCCATGCGAGGCTGCATGGACATACCACACGGGCACATGTGCTGGGCAGTAGACAGGTAAGCTGGTGGTCAAGAGACATGGGGCAGGGGACTTAGTTTGTGAGTCACAGAAACAGAGAGGCTATTCCGAGATGCAACTCTGACGTGGGACAAGATGGGGGTCGGTGCCCCCATGCCTGCAGGTTCTTGTCCGGGAAGATCAACTTAGGTGTCCAACACGAGTCACTCCCTCACTTCCGTTGACCTTCAGTTAAATATCGAAGCCATTTGGTGACATCTCTGATCATTTTATTCTGAATTACAACCCTCATCTATCTCTCTCCCCTAACCCCACTTTCTAAAACCCAATAACATCTTGTATGCTATATGCTTTGTCATAGTGTATATGTTATTGCCAATATACATTTACATAATATGTAATATGAACACAATAATTGTGTAAATTATAAGCATGAAGTAATGTATGTTATGGTGTATATTATGTGTGGCATATGCGGTAAATATAGGCTGTACATGGCAGACACCATTTACCTGTGGTTCTCTTTCAACAGTTTCAGTTTACCATGGCTGGCCATAGCCCATTTGTGAGTTTTAAATTGTGTGCCACTCTTAATGTGGTCAAAACCTCGCACATCCTTCCCTGTCAGCCAACCACACAAACCGTCTCTCTGTTCATCGTGCCCATTCTGTGTATGCTACTAGCAATTGTCTCAACAATAGACTGTTTTTCATCAATTAACCCTTATTTTATTTAGTAATGCTCCCAAAGTACAAGAGCAACAATGCTGGTACTTTTAGTAGTGTTTTGATATAATTCTATTGTTAAGCCAATTATTTTTAATATCTTTCTGTCCCTAATTTATAAGTTGAGATTCACAAAGGCATATATATATATATATATATATATATATATATATATATATATCAGAGTACACAGAGTTCAGCACTGTTTGCAGTGTCAGGCATCCAGTAGGTATACTGGATCAAATCCCCATGGGTAAGGGGCTCTGCTGTGTGTATATATATCATCATCTGGGATATCTATATAGTAATTATCAAAATTTTTCATCAACAGAAATGAAGCCAACAGACTAATTCTAATTGCTCTAATTTTTATAGCCATGAACATTTTCTGGCATGAAATATGCTAATATACTTGTGGGGTGAAAGTTTTGAAACATTTCTTTTTTTAAAAACCTCATTTTTAAAATTAATTCTTGTAGGTCCATACACAAAGTAATGGATCTCATTCTAACATTTTCATCTCTACACATCATTATACTTTGTTCATTTAGTCCCCTCTCCCATTGTCCTTCTCCATGCTTAAATGCTTCATGGTAGCAATTTGACAAAGGAAGTGGAGAAATAAAATAAAACATAAGAGGAAAGCGCCGTGTCCTGGAACCAAAAGCATAGTATGTTCATAAAAGTGGGGCCAGTGTTTCCCCTGCCCATCACCACCAGCCCTGTGCTTCCTGCCTCCTACAAACATCATCTCATTGAGACCTCCCAACACCATGTGAGGACGGTAATGATCCCCCTATGTAAATAATCTATAGACTCTTTCCAAGGCCACCATGTGTATTAAATCTTTCTTAAGAGAGAAAGAACAAAATGTGTCCAAAAACTGTTTATGGGGCTGGAGAGATGGTTCAGTGGTTAAGAGGGCTGGCATACTGCTTTTGCATAGGACCTGAATCTGATTCCCAGCTCCGTGTCAGGTAGTGCACAGTCACCAGTAACTCCAGCTTCAGAAGACTTGTGGTATACTCACATGTGCAAGCGCTCACATGTACCTGCATTCAGGTGCATATACCCCCACACATGCCCACATGCATGCATATAATTTTAAGAAATGAAAACAAATAAAGCTGGGCATTGGTGATGCACGCTTTTAATCCCAGCATTTTGGAGGCAGGGGCAGGCGAATCTCTGTGAGTCTGAGGCCAGCCTGGTCTACAGAGTGAGTTCCAGGACAGCCTCCAAAACAATACAGAGAAACCCTGTCTCAAACAAAAAACAAAAACAAAAACAAAACAAAACAAAAAAAAAAAACAAAAAAAAAGAGAGAAAGAAAAAAAAAGAAACCAAACCAAAATAACCCTGTTCATCCACTCGATATTCTCATTGGGACCATGGGTGACCATATTCCAAACTCCCAGACTGGAGAAGAGTAAAAAACAAGGAGGTGAGGAAATGTCAACTCTTTCCACAGCTTCTGGACAAGAAGAAGTGGGAGAGAAAGAGGTTGGAGACAGCAGGCTTAAGAGGAGCAAGGGGAGGTGCCTAACAGAGGTTTTGCTTTATGTAACAACACACGTGATCTGAACTTCTAAACTCTATCCTTTAGGTGTGTTCGCCTCAGGCGAGCAAGCACTCGGCACAGAAAGGGTGTTCGTCTTCCTTGCTTCCCCACTTGAAAGCTTTTGCTTTGAACTTACCTTGGTTATGCATAGAATTTGCTTTGTACATCCTGGAAGATGGCTAAATCTACAGAAAGGAGTGTAATTGGGTCAACGTAGCTAGAAATAAAAGATGACCTATTTGTGTGAAACTGAGAAATCTGGGCTTTAGAAAAATGAATAAAAAGCAGGCGTGGCCACACATGTGTATAAATTCCAGTCCTGGCGAGGCTGAGACAGGCGAATTATGAGTTCCAGGCCAGACTGGGCTATAAAGTGTATCTTAAAGCAGACAGCAGTGTAGTAAATAGGCCCACTCACAGACACCCATGGCCTAGCTGGCTGCTCCTAGCCCAGCTGCTGCTTGGTTTGTCACCTTGCAGAGTTTACCTATCTCTGTGTCAGCATCCCTTATGGATAGCAGTCATCTTGTCCCTCTTGGCTCTGGGAAGACCCAGTTGTTACTGTACAAGCTGACGTGGTTTATATAAATGCAAGGTACTCCAAGCATTTGCTGTGACTGAAGACATCTATGATTAGAAGACATCTGTGATATAATGCACAGCCTACTAGTGGCTTGAATAGCCACGCGAATTCTCAACGACTGATTCAAGATTATAAATAGAGTTCAATCCAACCAATGCCAAAGCCTCATACACACACACACATACATACACACACACACACACACACACACACACACACACACACCTGTAACTCCATCGTGGAGGGGTTTAAAGCAGGACCAGACATTTACAGACAGCCTAGATTACATAGTAAGAGTTTGTCTAAAAGAAATAGTATGTTTTAAAGAGCTACATATTTAATTTTCCTTATTACAACTGGTGCTGCTGAAGCAGATTTAGTGAGAATCAGGTTAATCTAGGCCTAAGCCTGGGGGCACATCTGCCCTCTGAAACATACTCAGATTGTGATACACTTTCAGTTTGTGCTGGATCTGGTGTCCAACCAATTCTACATCCAAGTCCTGCCCCACAAGTGTCTCTGATCCATGCCTTCACTAACCAAAGCAAAGCCCGCCAAGCTTCAAGACTCTCCTTCAAACACTTTCCATGTTGGGCCTCACCAAGGCAGACGCACACAGGGCTGCAGCCCAGAACTTGCTCCCTGACTGTCCACTTGGCATGGAGACACAGATGTGGCTTTCTCCAGCCAGAGAGACAAAGTCAGGAGGGAACCATTAAGACTTGGCTGTTTTAACCCCTTTTAATTTTAAAACAGTCTATTCTTGTCCTTTGGCAATTGCTGTTCATTATAAACATGGGAAATGCTGAATGGGGGTGAGGTGATGGATGTGGTGTCACAGAGACCAAAGGCATCAGGCGGTT